CTATGGTGGAGGAGCTGTAAGTTGGACAAGTAAGAAGCAATCAACAATGACTGATTCTTCTACAGGTGCTGAGCATGTTTCAGCAAAGGCAGCATGTCATGAAATCAAATGGCTACATAACTTACTTCTGGACTTTGGGATAATAGAGCCCAAACCAACCATTTTGATGCAAGATAATCAAGATTTCTGAAAGTGAAAAGCCACTCAAAAAGAATATTGACATTGCCTTCCACAAAGTGTAGGAGATGTGTCAAAATGGACTTGTCCAGTTAAAGTACTGCAACATTGAAGCGAATATTGCAGACATCCTTACCAAGCCTCTATCAAGAGATTGGTTCCAGACACTACACAAAGGGATGAAGATCCTTGACATCAGTCCGAAAGAATGAGAAAGGGATTGTTGGAAAATCTTTGCATTCTTCCCCCAACCTCCTAGATAGACAGGGATTCCTATTTGCAAACTCCTCCCTCCCTCTCTTTGTCTCATTAAAACTAACCATGGGACTTAGGTCACACACACACACACACATCCACTAACAGTTTGACCTTTTATCTCAGGATTCTCAACTGAGCTGTTCCATCTTCCTTCTCTCTTAAAGATAGTGAGATTTTCTATTTTTACCTGAACCATCACTAATTAGATTAGGATTTAGTTTTTTGTGTAAATATAGAATAAACCCATCATTGTTTTGAGCTCCAAGCTACATGTTTGTTGTTTTTTTTAGTCAGTCTCAGTTCTTAGGGAAGCTTATTAGTTAGGCAAAGTCACTCTTCTGCTACTCTGCTAATTTAAAACCAGATTCTAACAGTTTTGGCTTTTATCTTTTGATATTTAAATATTTTGTTTCCTTTAAAAAAGCTGAAGCCTTAAGAAACTTAAATTACTCCTACAGTGTTGATGGTCATTATCCAGAGTCTGTAATAGCTGTATCACTGTTCCAGAGAAACTTGTGCAGAGGGAGTACTTAGAGGAATGCTTTCATAACTTCCTTTTCTGCATATCTTGATGGGGATCAAATCCCAACCATGATTTAACTAAAAAATGAGAAGTGAAGATAAGAGGAAGGTAGATTAACAATTGTCTCATTTTCATTGCAAACAACTCCCAATGGAAATGATGTGACACCAAACATTTTTGTCCCCAAAGCTAGTCTAGATCTTTTGAGAGAACTCAGATGAAAGAGGAATCTTTCATCAGCTGCTTCCATCCCTGTAAGATGCAGCCCAAAACGTTTGACAATAGAATCTACAATTTGCAATTTACTCAGAACTCTCCAATTTAAACTACTTAACTTCATCAAATGGTTCTGAAACACGTCTAACTTGGAATTCATTTGCCTACATTCAATGGAACACATATCTCATAATATCTGAGGATAGTCCAGCCCATTCAATTAAAGAAAAACACCTAAAGATAAGATTTTTATTCAAGTTTCTTCCCTCCAGCTACTAAGTAACACAAAATCCACCCACCCAGCCATCTTTTAACCTAATTCATCAATCAAAATTGATCTCCAGTTTTGCTGGCATTTAAATGCTATGGTTGCCTTTACTTTTGTTCTAGGTTTAACCAAGAATCTGTGTCCGTGTTTTGCCTTCAGTACAAGACAAATCTAAGCAACGACTGGATTTTATAATTCTAAAAATGGGGAGAACCAGCCATTCTTCTTTGTTTCAACAGTCCCAGGGAAAGCCTGCATGACACCTAGCAAAGGCTAATCCATTGGAGTGTGTGCCTTCGTTTAAGATTCGGACCAAGAAGACTTTCTTCAGCATCATATTAACATGACTTCCCTCCACCTGCATTTTATAACATTTAGTCTGTCCGGTGAAGATTTCTGGAAATCTCTAGGGCTCGATCCCAGTTTTGGAGTATATTTGGTGAGTCCTGATAAGGTGTAGTGGTTTGAGCGTTAGACTACGATTCTGGAGACCAGGGTTCGGATCACGGTTGGGCCAAGGAAATCCACTACATCTACATCTACACTGTAGAAATTATGCAGCTTGGCACCACTTCAAGTGCCCTGGGTCTATCCTATGGAATCCTGGATCTTGTACTTTTACAGGGTCTTTAGCCTTTTCTGTCAAAGAGTGCTAGTGTCTCACAAAACTACAGATCCCAGGAATCTGTAGGATGGAGCCAAGGCAGTTAAAGTGGCGTCAAACTGTGTTATTTCTACAGGGTGGGTGCACACACATTATTGCTTTTGAATTGAGCAGACTCACATTGTGTGAGCTGAGGAGTTGTCATACAAATATACATTTTGAATGCTTGTAGGCCACTGAGGAAGACTGTTGTGTGTCTGGCCTTGAGTTTTTATTATTCACCATTATTATTTTATTTTT